AAACAATATCATATCATTGTGAAGATCTGGTTAAGGTATTTTTAAAATTTTTTAATAAGATATTAATAAAAGATTTAAATTTTTTTAAAGCAATTTAAAAATATTTATGAAATTTAAAAATATATTTTAAATAAGGCCAGTAAAAAGGCCATTAAAGGAATGATCATGGTTTATAAACAAAAAAAAAAATATATATATAATCTCATAAGAGGCCTTTTGGAAAAGCTAAAGCAAAGTCCCTAGAGCTTAGGGTGAAAGTGAGGAGAAGCCAAAGAAAAGCCACGAGAGCTTAGGCTGAAAGTGAGGAGAAGCCAAAGCAAAGCCGGTAGAACTTATGTTGAAAGTGGACAATATCATATCAGTGTGGAGAGTCGTGCTTGTTCAACAAAAATATTTTTAAATTTTTTTATAAAAGCTGGATAAAGTGAAAGTTTAAATATAAAGCGTAGTAATATATATTTTTTTATTAATTTAAGCTAATAAATACATAAATGTTGTTCTTTGTTTCTCGTTTTCTGGTTGTTGAAGCACCAAAATCTCCCGCTCCCCTGTTCCGAAGCAATGAAAAACAGGGGCAAGAAATCTCCATCTCCAATGGATTCGCAAGAATCAGAATCAGAATTAGAAGCACCGGAGTTAAGAAGGTTAGAATCCTTCCTGAAATGGATTTGCATAAACGATCAATCCAATCCATATCGCGCTTCGCTCTCCTGCCTCATCTTCTTCATCTTCGCAATCGCCGTCCCTCTCGCATCGCACTTCGCTCTTTCCTGCTCCGATTGCGACGAAGATCACCAGAGGCCATTCCATGTCGTCGTTCAGCTCTCTCTCTCCGCCGTTGCGATGCTCTCTTTCCTCTCTCTCTCTCTCTGGCTCCGTCTCTTCGGATTCAACCGATTTCTCTTCCTCGATAAGCTCTCCAAAGCAAGCCCTAGGGTTCGGGCTGAGTATTCCAGGCAATTACAGGTACGATTCCTTTCTTTTCCTTACACAATTTCCAAATCCCCTTTCCTGAACATGAAGATGAACACTCCTTAATTTTATTTTTAATTTTATCAATTCATAATTTGTTTCTATGAGTCAATATTTTGTGATATTGAGTGAAATTTGTTTGTTTATCAATTTATATTGCCAAGTTGAACCCAACTTGATGGAAAATTATTAAGTATTGCTATTATTGTTCATACGTCAAAATCATTACCTCTTCTCATTTAAAACTTTTGCTATTCAAAATTCTTTTAAATAATTAAGTATATGAAAATTCATTTGATTAAGTTGGATCCAAAGTCAAGTTTGATGGATTGGTCGAATATAAAAGAATATTTAATAATTTTATCAGTTTAATCGACTATTCGAGTAGATTAAATCAATCTAATTTAAATTTATTATCTGTCGTAAAAAAAAAATATATATATATTTAATATTTTTCCCATAGTTTTTAGTTAATATAAAAATTTGAAAATGGTTACAAATCAATATTTTTTTAAAAAAAATAAAACACTAAATGAAAGCTTTCAATAATTTTATAGAATAAAAAGTAATCAATGTAACAATTTTTTTAAAGAAAATTAATAAAATAAAAAATCAATAAATCTTAATAATATTTTAACTACAAAATAAAAAAAGAATTTATATATATAATTAATTAGTATTCAATGGTCTAATTCTAAATAATTAATTAAAAAAATTTAAAACTTGAATTAATTTAAAAGTTAGTTTTAAAGAAAATCTGGAGCAAGAAAAAAAATATATTTGTAATAAATATAATTGTTTTTTAAGATAGTGTAATCAATTTTTTTTTTTATTATTATTTTTAATCTATGGAACTTGAGAATGATCATGTGTTTATAATCCGTCCAAAGGAAAGTCACGATCATGAGTTTATAATCCTGAAACAAAGTCACGAGAGATTATGTTGAAAGTAGACAATATTATACCATTGTGGAGAGTCGTGTTTGTCTACGATCGAACGTAATAATAATTTGAATGTAATTGCAGAGATCAAAGGAGCTGATCTGCTTGTTCGTGGTACCATGTTTCATGGCAGAAGCAGCGTACAAGATGTGGTGGTACATCACCGCAGCTAAGCAAATCCCATATTACACCAACAACATGTACTTGAGCTACATCACCTCCTGCACATTGGAGCTCTGCTCATGGCTCTACAGAACTTCCATCTTCTTCTTCGTCTGCGTCCTCTTCCGCCTCATCTGCTGCCTCCAAATGATCAGGCTCGAAGATTTCGCTTCGGTTTTCCATCGGGAAACCGACGTCGGCACCATCTTGGTTCTGCATTTGGGCCTCAGAAGAACCTTCACCATCATCAGCCATCGCTTCCGAGCCTTCATTTTGTTGTCTTTGATTCTGGTCACTGCCAGTCAGTTCATCTCTCTTCTCATGACTACAACGGCCAAAGCTCATGTTAACCTCTCCAAGGCTGGACAACTTGCGGTAATCTACTTTCTTAACTTCATCTTCGTTATCATAAAACTAAATTTGTGAAGTTAGTGAATAAATCAAGATCACATTCGAATAAGATCCGACCATGAGAATAGGATGACTAAGAAAGGCTTAAAAGAATTGAAAGTTACTAAATCTATGTTCCTTTTTAGTGGCTCCTGCGTTGATACTTTAAAGTTAAATGTGTTTTGCTTGGAGTAATTCTTTGTTTGGTGATGTAAGTGAGAACAAAATATCTTAAAATGATTGATGTTGGTTTGTCTGTGGGGATAGTTTTCATTTTTGGAAGCGAGAAGTAAGTAATGTAATTATATCGCACGGGATGCAAAGGAATGTTGGAGCACACAGGTACCAAATTCAAGTTCCGAATTCTTATCCGAATCTTGAGCATGTAGCGTTATAAAATCCTTTGTTCTCCATGCACCTATTTCTTATTGTACTAGGTTAAATTACTATGGATAGTTCTTGGCTCGAGCAATTGTTGAATACAATTTTTTAGGAGAAACACTCACACTTTTTATGATTACAAAACACTCCGAAGAATACTACTACATTTTGCTTTACTTGAGACTGCTTGTAATTTCATCCGTAGACGGGTATTTACAATAAAAAATCTTGCTAGTGATGATATGTTAACGTTTTGCGGATGTTATAATAGTATAATAGAATAACAGGTATGAGTTTTGACAATGCAGCTATGCTCCATCAGCCTGGTGACAGGCTTGTTCATATGCCTCCGCAGTGCAGCAAAGATAACCCACAAAGCACAGTCCATCACATGTCTTGCTGCAAAGTGGCACATCTCCGCCGTCGTAAGCACCTTCGACGATCTCGACAATAAGACGACCCCAACAGCAGCTATCATCGAATCGAACTCGGATGACGAAGACGGCGACGGCGACGAGGACGACTTGGATGATGCAAAACTGATGCCAGTTTTTGCGGACACAATCTCATTCCAAAAGAGGCAGGCGCTAGGTGAGTAAAAAGATGCACAAAGTTCATGAACCATTTGATCTGGGTTTTAAAAAAGGAGGGCATTTGTTTGTTGTTGTGCAGTGATATATTTGAGGAATAACAAAGCGGGAATTACAGTGTATGGATTCATGGTGGATAGAACATGGCTGAAATCCATTTTTGCTATTGAACTTGCTCTGTTCTTGTGGCTGCTCAACAAGACTGTTGGTATTTCTTGAAGCTCTTGCCTTTCTTTTAGTGGATTTTGGAGTGAAAAAGTGCGATATTTCTAAAATTTTAGAAACCAAAAGTTAGGGTTAAGAATGTAATATAAGAGAGTTTGATTCATGAAATGACTCGTTTGGAAATGATTTGAGTTAGTTCACTTTACACCAAAAAATAAGAGAGAATTTTGGAAACCCTACTAACTCGATTTTCGTCCCATCTAGTGTACACGAGCTAGGTTGAAATTTTTTTTTAGACTACTCAAAATTTTGGGATGATTGGGTCCGTGCTCAAATAACCCAAATAGAGTTCACCTCCCGTCGAGATAAATCTGACCCCTTCCCCTGTTCCTGTCTACGTATATGAGATATTTTAAGAAGTAAACATCTTTTTCAGTCGCAGGGTCGAGGGAAAGAATAGGAAAAGTGATTCACTACATTTCTGACGGGCCTTGGCACAAGAATATTTTTTAATGGGACGATAGGTTTGAAAAGACAGATGGCCCATCTTTTCTTTAATCTCACGAGAAATACAATTGTGGCTAATTCAAACCCATCATAAGATAAAAATAGCCCCCACGTTCAAACCGCTACTTTTCCTATTTGCAAGAACTTGTTTCGGTTGTCTATCATAATTCAAACAAAACCTAACCCTCTATAGTTGAGACTAGGTTGAGTTGGGTTATCGGGTTATTTTTTTAATTATATAAACAATCATAGTTATATATAATACACATTACATTATATAACTAAAACATTTTACGAGCTATAACATATTACTAACATCATATATATATATATATATATATATATATATATATTTAGAGTAGATTAGGATTAAGTTGAGTTGTANTTTAGTGGCTCCTGCGTTGATACTTTAAAGTTAAATGTGTTTTGCTTGGAGTAATTCTTTGTTTGGTGATGTAAGTGAGAACAAAATATCTTAAAATGATTGATGTTGGTTTGTCTGTGGGGATAGTTTTCATTTTTGGAAGCGAGAAGTAAGTAATGTAATTATATCGCACGGGATGCAAAGGAATGTTGGAGCACACAGGTACCAAATTCAAGTTCCGAATTCTTATCCGAATCTTGAGCATGTAGCGTTATAAAATCCTTTGTTCTCCATGCACCTATTTCTTATTGTACTAGGTTAAATTACTATGGATAGTTCTTGGCTCGAGCAATTGTTGAATACAATTTTTTAGGAGAAACACTCACACTTTTTATGATTACAAAACACTCCGAAGAATACTACTACATTTTGCTTTACTTGAGACTGCTTGTAATTTCATCCGTAGACGGGTATTTACAATAAAAAATCTTGCTAGTGATGATATGTTAACGTTTTGCGGATGTTATAATAGTATAATAGAATAACAGGTATGAGTTTTGACAATGCAGCTATGCTCCATCAGCCTGGTGACAGGCTTGTTCATATGCCTCCGCAGTGCAGCAAAGATAACCCACAAAGCACAGTCCATCACATGTCTTGCTGCAAAGTGGCACATCTCCGCCGTCGTAAGCACCTTCGACGATCTCGACAATAAGACGACCCCAACAGCAGCTATCATCGAATCGAACTCGGATGACGAAGACGGCGACGGCGACGAGGACGACTTGGATGATGCAAAACTGATGCCAGTTTTTGCGGACACAATCTCATTCCAAAAGAGGCAGGCGCTAGGTGAGTAAAAAGATGCACAAAGTTCATGAACCATTTGATCTGGGTTTTAAAAAAGGAGGGCATTTGTTTGTTGTTGTGCAGTGATATATTTGAGGAATAACAAAGCGGGAATTACAGTGTATGGATTCATGGTGGATAGAACATGGCTGAAATCCATTTTTGCTATTGAACTTGCTCTGTTCTTGTGGCTGCTCAACAAGACTGTTGGTATTTCTTGAAGCTCTTGCCTTTCTTTTAGTGGATTTTGGAGTGAAAAAGTGCGATATTTCTAAAATTTTAGAAACCAAAAGTTAGGGTTAAGAATGTAATATAAGAGAGTTTGATTCATGAAATGACTCGTTTGGAAATGATTTGAGTTAGTTCACTTTACACCAAAAAATAAGAGAGAATTTTGGAAACCCTACTAACTCGATTTTCGTCCCATCTAGTGTACACGAGCTAGGTTGAAATTTTTTTTTAGACTACTCAAAATTTTGGGATGATTGGGTCCGTGCTCAAATAACCCAAATAGAGTTCACCTCCCGTCGAGATAAATCTGACCCCTTCCCCTGTTCCTGTCTACGTATATGAGATATTTTAAGAAGTAAACATCTTTTTCAGTCGCAGGGTCGAGGGAAAGAATAGGAAAAGTGATTCACTACATTTCTGACGGGCCTTGGCACAAGAATATTTTTTAATGGGACGATAGGTTTGAAAAGACAGATGGCCCATCTTTTCTTTAATCTCACGAGAAATACAATTGTGGCTAATTCAAACCCATCATAAGATAAAAATAGCCCCCACGTTCAAACCGCTACTTTTCCTATTTGCAAGAACTTGTTTCGGTTGTCTATCATAATTCAAACAAAACCTAACCCTCTATAGTTGAGACTAGGTTGAGTTGGGTTATCGGGTTATTTTTTTAATTATATAAACAATCATAGTTATATATAATACACATTACATTATATAACTAAAACATTTTACGAGCTATAACATATTACTAACATCATATATATATATATATATATATATATATATATTTAGAGTAGATTAGGATTAAGTTGAGTTGTAACTCTATTTTCAAGTTTGATCCAAAGAAAAAAATGTCAACCCACAAATTGAACTAAATTTTCAATTTTCAAAAAATTTAATATACTCCATACTAAAAAAAAAAGGGTTGGGTCAGGTTATTGGATTTTACGAACCCCTACTCACCACTCATAACAGCACACACCCACCAAGGAAAAACTAGAACATGCCATTGTTTGCATTATTAACCAGAAAAGTTAGGTCATCGAATTCGTCTTAGGCTTCCAATTGGCATTCAAGTGCGTTTTGGTTTTAGCGCTCTAAGAAGCATATGAACAAGACTATCACCAATAATATACCTAACTATCAAACTTAGAGCAAACACCTAACCCGTCAACCATTTTATTTTTCAAAATTATACTTATTTTTTCTCTAAATTTCTTTTACCATAATTTTCACATTACAAAATTTGGCATGAATTAAAAAAAGAGAATTAAAATTTTGAAAAATACAAAATCTTACACTTTTTTGTTTTTGTCCTCTCTGCGGGCCCCACTGCATTCATCATCCAATAATCAGTGGCTACACGTGGGCTCCACTCAGCAGATTTTTCAAACATCAAAAGGGCGCTCTCTCTCTCACTCTCATTCAAAAGTCTTGGGTGGATAAATCAATTACAATCACCTGTGAAGTCCCCACCGTAATCTTCCTGGTTTCATCACACGTGTCCAATCCGGATCAAATCTGATGAATCACATCCCAAACTACCTCCATCCTGACCATCCAATCACGAAGGATCACTGTTTCGAATGTACATCACATTACACGGAAGTATAGCTCAGCCACTAAGCCGCTTCCCAGCCAAAAAAGCAGCAAACGGCGTGGGTTTCAATTTTGTTCATCCCGAGCGCCAAAGCTGTTGATATTAGAGAGAGTAGAGCTGTCATAATCCGGTAGTCAAGTTTTGAATTCCATTTCTTTCAAAAAATGGAGATTGGATCTGGTGCGATTGGCTCCTGCTCGAAAGAGCAGCTTAAGATCTTTCAGGAATGGTTCGGTTTGGCTGATTCAGGTTTTTTTTTCTTCTTTTAATCCTCAATTAGCGTTTCTTGCTTGTTCTATTACTCATCTAGGATGTTAATCAATCGTTTTGTTTTCTGTTCTTCGATTTTGGTGTAGATGGAGATGGTCGTGTTACTGGAAATGATGCCATACAGTTCTTCTCCACGTCTCATCTTTCTCGCGCAGAACTCAAACTGGTATCTCACTTGTTTTTTGAAATCCATTGAGTTAATCGCTCAATCTAACTTCGACTCCTGGATAGATTAGATAATTATGATTTGAGTTAGTTGGGAACCTTTTCTGTTTGTCCTAATTGATGTTCTTAGTAGGATGCCTGATCTTGATGTGCTACCTCATTGGAATGAGACTTCAAGAAACTTATTTGTTTATTTGGTCAAATATTGTGTCTACGTTCATTTGATTTGATTTGATTTTCATTTTGTGTCTTCTTAAAATGTTCGTGCTTATTATTTTTCTAACTTTTCCTCTTACACGCGATTGATGAAAAATTTAGGAGCATTTTATCTAAATACGTTTCAATAATTCAAATGCCAACAAGGCTTTATTGCATCGAGTATATCCCTTTTATGTCTGTTTTTCTTTGTATAGCATCGGTTGTTGCACAGTGAGTGAAGAGTTTTGCTCCGATCACTCTCCATCTTTTAGGGGATTATATTTATTTGGGTATATAACATGTATTGGATTCAGAGGTTGTTACATCTTTTTCCCTTTTCCTGTTTAAAGGTTTGGGCTATTGCAGACTCCAAACGACAAGGATATTTAGGGTTCAATGAGTTCGTTACTGCCATGCAGGTTCTATTCGACTTTATTTTGATTTTATCACTTTAACTAGTACGTGGGGCTTTTTCTAATTCTAACTATTGTTTTGATAACAACCAGCTTATTTCTTTAGCGCAAGCAGGGTATGATCTGGATTCAGATATCCTCAAAAAAGCAGGCAAGTTGAATGATGTGTTTAATGTTCTGTCTCTTACTTTTAAGAATTTATGCTCTTGCTACTATTCTTGTAAGTGTAACAGATGAATTTTCCTTGTTATCAAGTCCGTATTATTTTGAAATTACAAATTATTGGTCTGGCTCAAGACATCAAATAACGCAGATACCATGTGCCAGAACTTTTAGTTCTATGAAATATCAGTATAGATACCAGTGATACTGAGATTTATTGAATTATTTTTCCACCGGAAGCATGCACTCACTGTATATATTTCAAGGGGCAATATGTTGGGATATTAAGTCTGTTGCCTATTTATAACTTATTTTATTCCATGGTTATAGAACTAAAACTATATGGAAAATGTTAGTAAATTTATAGTAAAAAGCTGGAGAGATATGTATGATAGATATTTATAAATAGTAGGTGGTTTGAAAGGTAGCATTCTCTATATTCTTCCTCACTGTACATAAACGAAGTCAACATCATAAACGTCCTGCTTGCATTTTCTCTTTCTTATTATCTGTGCTCGTCTAGATCGAGTGTGCGTGCAATCCTAACACAATATAGTCCAAGTGAATGTCTTGTAGACTTCCCAGGGGCTAATATTGTGATTCATGGCCAGAAATTATTTCTAACCAGTTAATCAATCCTTGTCTTGTAGACTTCCCAGGGGCTAATATTGTGATTCATGGCCAGAAATTATTTCTAACCAGTTAATCAATCCTCTAAGCTTGGTTCCTTGATTGAATTTTGCATATTATTGAACTAGATAATTTGAAAACTATTAGTGAAAAGTTTTAAAAGTAGGAAGGGATATGTTAGTGAAAGAGGGATTGATTGAATGATTAATGAGAAGATTGAATTATGAAGAGCAAGAATGCTCCATATTTATACAGAGAATATAAAAGATATTCAGAAAATCTACCTAAAAATCTGCAGAAAACCTGGTAACAAACCAGTAAACAAATCAAAATAAAATCTAATCAAATCAAAACTAAATCAAATAAAAAACTGGTAACAAACCAGTAAACAAATCAAAATAAAATCTAATCAAATCAAAACTAAATCAAATAAAAAACTGGTAACAAACCAGTAAACAAATCAAAATAAAATCTAATCAAATCAAAACTAAATCAAATAAAAAACTAGATCTAACTCCTAACGGAAATTTAATTAGATACTAACTGACAGCAATCTAAACAAATACATGATCTTTAACACTCCTCCTTGTTTAGATGCTGTGAACTCCAAGATTTTTTCTGAACACCTATCTTGCTCCAATTATTTTTTTGTTTAGAGGTCGATCAACCAACTCTCAGATTTTGTTTTTCTCGATCACCGAAAGCTCCTCCTCTGACAGGTGCATCATCAACCAAAGCATCTTGTCGTTCATCTGCAGACTCTTCTAGTCGTTCATCTTCAGACTCTTCTAACATGCAAACTTCAAATGGTGTGAGGACCTTCACATCTTTTGTTGAAATTCGACTTTGCAAGCACACAACAGTGTTTGCTGCTTTTCCCCAAAAACGTTTTGGAAGATTCTTCTTATGAAGCATGCGTCTCGTCATCTCCATTATGAATCTATTCCTCCTTTCACTGACGTCATTTTGTTGAGGAGTGTATGGTGCTGTCAATTGATGTTCAATTCCAGCCTTTTCACAAAACCTATTAAAAGTTTCTAAAGTATACTCCTTGCTATTATCTGACTTTATAGTCTGAATCAAGCATGCACCTTCATTCTCAACTTTGGCTTTGAATTTCCAAAATACACCCGCAACTTCTGACTTTTGCTTCAGCAAGAATATCCAACACATTCTTGTTAGTTCATTAATAAAAGCAATGTAATAAAGATTACCATTTAGTGATGGTGTTCGCTGAGGACCACAAAGATCAGCATGAACCAGTTGCAGCTTTTTCGAGCCTCTCCATGCCTGTTTAGGAAGGGGTTGCCTATGTTGCTTCCCAAAATTACAAGCACGGTAAGGAGACATGTCATCATCAATGTCAGTGAGTTCTTCTACCAGCTTCTTTGACTGTATCTGAAGCAAACCTCGATGATGAAAGTGCCCAAGTCTTTTGTGTCAAGTCCCAGTGGCACCAGCTCTGGATATAAAGGCCGTCGGATTTAGAGCAAAGCTTTTTCCTTTCATTTTGACGTTGAACAAGTCTTTGCCACTAGCATCTTTGATCAAGCACCGCTTATTCTCAAACAACACTTTATAACCTTTATTAAGTAACTGACCAACGCTCAAGAGATTTTGATCAATTTTAGACACAAATAAAATATCTGGAATAAATTTTGTACCTTCATAGCTT